CCTGCCTGCAACTTTAACTGCAACTGCAACTGCGCCGGTCATAGTCTCCGGTACACCTGCACTCGGGACCTTTCAACCCTTACTGGCTCCGGTATCACCTACCTATAGCGACGTAACGACGTAACGCAAAATGCTCGGACGTTATGTAGAAAGTTTCGTTGGATCGCACGGGAAATCGGTCGGGCCGAAAAAGTTTCAACGATAAAAACCGATAACCACCGACCGACACGTGACTGATAACGGCTGCCACGATGTTCAACGCACTGGAATATCTGCAAATTGATTTCCGATATAATCGTCGGGGACGTCGTACAAATTAGTTTACTACTTGATCGTACCAACTCGTTGCATGTTAAAACAATATCGGTAGCTGCCGAGGAGAGACGAGCAGTTCTAATCGAACAAGTAGCAAGTATAGCGTAACGAAGGTTTCTTTCGGAAATTGCGCCGTCCACCGGATATCGCGAATACGCGGATTACAAATATAATACAAATAGGTATAGGTCCGCGTTCCTTCCTAAAGGTAGAACATCAATCCGGAGGAAGCGCGCTCGATGATTAGCAGTCTGGCAACGACCCGACTGATTGGGATCGAGACGCGAGGCACGTTCGTATCTCCGATACGTTGTCCTTAACGTTGATTTTAGTCGGATCCCGGTACACGTGCTTCGATTCGTTCTGCTAGGAATTTTCGCTCGTCGATGCGCCATCACGATGCCCTCTTTTCGTACGCGTTTCGTTCGAGCAAAAAGAAAAAAAGAAAAAGAAGCCGATGAATAATAAACGAACCCGTCCGATTAGCTCACAATCAGCCGCCAATTAACGCGTTCTCGCGTTATATAAAACAGACTCGCGTACCGTAACCGGGATCCTGGCCATCTCGTGCAAGTTCGTTCGTGCACTTTCGTTCTCCTAATTTGTAGGTCAACGATCCTTCGACTTTCATCGAACGCTGAACAGAATTAATTAATCAGTCCCTTTCCTTTTCTTTTTCTTTTTTTCTTTCTTTTTTCGACAATCAGACGTTTTATCCCACGAAGAATCCGGCACGCGTTCCAAACGAGTCGCGGTCGCGTACGATGCAACGACGCGCTTACGACGATTCTCCGGCGGATAGTCGCAGCATCGACGGAGAAAAAAGAGGACGAACGTTCGAGGCGGAGCGCAGATGCAGATCGAGGTAACGAACGAAGAAACGAATCGTCGCTTCATACATATGTATATAATGGCATTAAATCACGAGCCGCAAATGGGGCAAACGAATGGTCGTGCTAATCGCTCGAATCGATATCGCGCTCGTGCTACTCTTCTCGCGTAAACTTCTGTCCGCGCGATCAGCCGAAAATTTTTAACGCCGTGTAAGCTTCGCGCCACTGACACAGCGGCAGTCCGAAGGCACACCGTGGCGAACGATTTTTCATAGTCGGTAGCATCGCACGATTAATCGGATCAATTTCTTCGCGATGTTCTCGAGACTCTCGCTATCGAGCGCGAAGAGGTGGAACAAGTTGCGCGCGATGCGAAGAATTTGCACTAGGTAAGATACTCGTTACGAGAAATATAACGGACGTACAAGAAGAGAGGGAAACGGGATTCGTAGCTAATTGGCAAACTTTCTGCGCGAAACGTTTCTCAGCGCTGAATCGAACGTCCCGCCGATTCGTCTGCCAAATACCGTGTTTCCGCGTTTTCCCTCATCTCGCGGGAAAGAAGAGGGGACAAGATCTCACGAGGACGACGGTTATCGGCGAGACGAGGCGCTTCGTTTGCCAACTTTTGCGATTACTTTGCAAGTTGGTCGGTTATCGGCTAAAGGTTGGGC